GACGAATCAGTCGAAGCGCGTCATTTGCGAGGAAAGTTTTAATGAGTGTCGAATGAAGCGGATGTGCAACGGCTTCTTCTACTGCCGGCGTCTAAAACAGCGAAACCGGGCCATTGAATGCTAGAATAATAAAGAATATCGAGTGCAAATGGCGAATGGAGAAGAAAAAAAAAAAGGCAGGCAACAGAAGAGCACCTCTTATTTTAGAATCAGTGCGAAGGTCAAAACTCGAGCGATCGATCGCCTCTCCCGGGAATAGTCCCGGAATCTATTAATAATTTCTCCGTGACAACACTCGCGGGCTAATTCTGATACGCGGCCGATCGATCGCGCGCCGATGTGTCGCTTGGAATTTCGGCTCAGGACCCAGAGCGACACGTTCGCAGAAATCGATCCCGCGCTCCTGACGATGATCAGATTGATCCCAATCAGCCAGCTGGCTTGTGCGTACGATGAGATGCTTTCGGGTTCTCGCCATTAATGAGGTACTAAATATTAAATGATCTTTATTATTAACTAGCTCAAACTACCCCGGGTTATGACAAAGCGTCAAGGGGACGAAATCGGGGGAGAGAGGGTGGAGGATGTCCAGGTCTCATGGTAGCTTATATCCTTCGCAGTAAGCTGTTAGAGAGTAATTATGCAAAGCTACATCGATCTAGTAGCTCGGGCAGTTCAGCTGAAAGGAACAGACTTATTGATTTTTCTATCGATAACGAATAACAAATGAGTGCATTGCACACTTGTAACTATTTTCTCGTTACTTGAGTAATATCCGCGAATATAGTTATCCCCGGATACTCATAGATATCCGGTAGCATCCGGGTGATGTGTGCAATCCAAGTGATAACAGGCAACACCCACGATATACAGAGTGAGATCCCAGACTCTCGTCCGCAATTTTTATAGAAACGTAGAAAAGATTGAGATGAACATGAAAGCTCCCCATTTCGCGATATTCGCAATAAATCTCGAGAGATATTGATTTAAAAAGATTGGTGAACGATCACGCGCGATATGATAGATGAATTGTTGTATACTTATTCATCAGACCAAACTTAGAAAAAGTCCTCTGCCATTTTGCGGGTGACTACATAGATTTTTAGATATTAATTAAAGGAGATTTGTGCATTATCGCACACAATCAACAGTTTTCTTTCATTAATAACTAAAAGTCTACGTGATTATTTGCAAAATGATAAGGAGCTTTTTTGTTCAATTTGACTTAATATACGAGTACACAACAGCACAGTTCATCTACCATATCGCGCGTGATAATTCATCACTTTTTTTGTCCCTCTTAATATCTCGACTGTCATTGCAAATATCGCAAAGCGATATAAGATTTTGATGTTCACCTCAATCCGTTCTATATTTCCACAGAAATTGCGGAGGAGAGTCTGAAACACCCTATACAATATATTGACTGTATTGACAGCAGCTCTCGTAACACTCTGACGTTGCGTCGGCGTTGCTTAGTCGATCACGGCGAATTTCGAGTCGCGAGCACGACGAGGAGTCGGAGAGCTGCACGCAGCCAATCACCTGGGGATGATCCCCGGCCGCGTTTTCGCGATCAGGCGCGATTATCGGCCGATCCATTCGTTCATTGGCGCGCAACCTCCGACAAATACGGACGGCGGCGCGACTTCATATCCGCTCGCGATCGAACTGTTTTCGGTCGGACGCATGCATCCAGGAGCCGGAAACATGACCGGCAAAAATTCGAATATCAAAATTGAAATATTTCCCGTTTTATCGGAAAACGGATAAAAACATGCGCCGGCCCCGACGCTTGGCTGCCGTTGCTGCTTTTCGTATTACGCGTTGTAAATAGCGCGCACCGTTACCGCTCCAGGGAAACGCGCGCGCGCGCGGTTGCAGTTGCACTGGCAGCTGCAACGTGACGGAAAGAAAGGGGGGAGAGAGAGAGAGAGAGGGGGGGGGACAGAGAGTGATAGAAATGCGAATAGTCGAGCGGAGCTATTACGAGCGGTCTTGTGGCCTGTAATGGACGCCGCGGACATATGGACGTAATGGATGGAACCGTAATCCATATATTCTAAATATTATCATTGTTATCGTCTTCCTCCCTTCGTGATACGCGGATTGAATCCGTGCGCGAACGATCCATCTACTTTTAATTCGCTCATGGCTTCTTATTTTCCAGGGTAACGCGATGATCCCTGTTTAACGTTAAGCAATAATAGCATCTAACTCTGGACGTTCTTATTGTTTTGCTTTTTAAATATTTGAAATTTACATAAAATAAATATTACTTACATAAAATAATACAAATATAAATAAAATAAATATTACTTACATAAAATAATACACACATAAAATAAACTCAGCAACTACTCTATGGTTGCGGGAATCATATAATTAGTTCCTCTGTATTTTACCGTTGAATCTGGTTGGCACAATCGGGCCGAGCGTACTATTTTTTCCGTATAGTTAGAGACCAAAACGACAAGAACGTCCAGAGTTAGGCACCAGTTAATTGTTAGTGTCCAGGGATTGGTACTTTTACCTTACAGAGCGCAGACTGACAAATGCACCGACACGTTAACGCGTAATCGTTATTCGGCGTTGCGAAAGCTTCGAATCTGGACGCAATTGCCGTAAAAATGATCCTCATTGCCCCCGGCGCGACGTAAACGTAACGATAATGAGGATCTACTCGCGGAAGCGCGCTGATTTTTATTGTTATTGGCGCCGCTTTAATGCGGCCTGCTACAACTGTGCTCGTCGTTTATATCTGAGAGAATTTCGCCGCTCGCCGGCATTGGTACGTGCAATTTTCAAGATCTTTTCATCGGAAATTTCGCCTTCTGCTTAGCAGAGTGCTAATTGTTATCATATCATTGCCAATCGTTATCGAAACGTTGCGTTGTAGAATCGCTTGAAAAGGAAAAAAAAATGTCGCGGCCTCATCGCAGTTGGGATCTCATCGCGGTGACACGCGAAGAAAAGTCTTTGTCCCGTTGATACGCGCGCATCGCGAATGCAGCACGCACGTCTTTTCTCTCTCACTAATTACGGGACTGTGAACCCACTAATTACGGGACTGTGGCGCAAAGTCCTCTTTCGCGCGCGCATTTTCCAAGTAGAAAATTTTTCAAGAAAAACTGCTCACTATCTAGCTAATTTTTACTGATTAAGACTGTATTAGACAGTAACTGGAAAAAAATATTAACCAGTATTTTATAGTTAATTACTGGCCAAAAATTAGGCTAGAAAAATTGATAAGTAAATACTAGGCAGTTTTTGTTTAACAAAAATTAACACTGCTCTATTCCGTCGCTTCCTCGTGATAATCAGCGTGTCTTTAAATCCTCAGTTCCATCCCGATTTGCTGTTCGCATTATCGAGGAATATAATTTCCCCGGCTCGACACCAGAGTGTCCATAGACGATGACCGGTCGCGACATTGAATATTCGATCGCTAAAACGACAGTGGCTCGCATTAGCGTGTTTTTTTTCTCTCTCCTCTGCCGTCTGCACTTCGGAAATTTTTCATTTCCCTTCGTGGTCGCGCTTTTACGAGCTTTTACGTATTTACTCGACGGATCCTCCGATCTTTCGGCGATCTCGCGTGAGGGAATAGCTCCGCTCTCTGAGAGCTGCGAGCGACTCGCGCTTAAAGTGTTACTCGACGCGAAACATGCGATAATTGCACGGCGCGCATCCTGAGTAGAAGTCTAGATTCTACATTAAGTCTGCAAGTATCGTAAGACTCGTGAAGAATCGCGTGATGTAACGTTTGTACAAACTATTGTGCTCCTTTGATGCTACAAATCGTAACTTGCCGCCGTTTTCTCCATGTGGAGATTTCAAACACGCATTTCATTGCGTAAAAGCAATTGTGACTTTATAAAACAATACGACGTAAGCGTTGCAGAAAAATGTCAGTGTTCTGTCGGCAAAGTTTTCAGCTTCAGCATCCACTTTGGCTCGATCTACAATAGATGGAGTAAGGAGTAAGAGTAAGACGAAATGGAAATAATTTATTTCGTTTAGACCCGATCTACAGTAAAGTTTGCCCGTCTATATCACATGGAGTAAGTCTGAATTAAGTAGTAAGAGCTGAAGTAAGGAGCTGGAGTAAGCGAGTAAGCGAATAAATTATTTTCATTTAGTCTTACTCTTACTCCTTACTCCATCTATTGTAGATCAGGCCTTAATGAAGAAGCGCGAAGCGTGGACAGTCGGTTGGCGACGAAATCTTACAAAATCGTCCCTAATCCCGCGGCGCTCGCGTTGTTGTCGGGGACTTACGGTGAATGGGTTGATCATCACGAATGCAACGGCGCGGCCAAATATTTGCATTCGCGGCATTAATGTGATCATCGGCATTGCCGGCCGAATATACGACAATGACGGCGGTTTGACGTGTGCACCGTACGCGATTATTAGCCCGCCGGCTCGACACCGGATACGCCTGTAAATATTGCGTGATACTGCTCTCGCTGCCGACCCGCCGCCACCACCGCCATCGCCGCTACTCGCCAAAGGGGCTTTTGAAAATTCATGCGTAACCGCTCTAGCTCGGGCCTTTGAATATCGCCGGTATTTATACGAAAACGCCATTACGCGACCGCCCGCGCTTGTTTGTCGCGAATCAATTTTTTAGAATGTTGTTCGCGCCACGCCGGCGAACGTGTGGCGTTAAATTGTGTTTAACAAATAAACTGATAAAATAAGATTCTGCACCAATTCCGGGCCCCCACAGCTGGGGCCCACGAAATCCCCGAAATGGGTCGTCTCACGGAAGACAAATTACACTTTTACTGATTTATAATTGAAATGAATTCAACGAGTTGATTTCTTTCTCTTTCTCCTCTTAATATTAATATTTCTATAATGACTCACTTTATCTCCCGCTTTAAAAAATATCTCGAGGAGTCCATGACTCAAGAGGAACAGTCGAGGACTCCCCTTTTAGCCGAGGCAAATCGATCGCGAGCTCTAATCCGACCTACTTCTGTCTGTTGCAGATTTTCACGCGCTTCGGCAAGGTCCTGAAGATCGTCACCTTCACAAAGAACAGTAAGTACAGCGTTCGACGTATTGTTGTTGCATGATCGCTTTAAAATCCGATACACGCCGAAGGGAGAGAACGAGGGGAGCGCGAGATCGTCGCAACACTTTCACGAAGATCCGCTCTCGTCTGTAGACACGCCACGACACTTTGGCACTTCAGTAGTGCTTGAAGAGCGCATTTTGCCCGGGCCTGCCGTCGTCGTTGCGCGCATTTGACGCCATTAGTACTTTCGGAATCGCGCCGAGTACCATAAAGAGTGTTCCCGAAATACTCGCTTTTGAAATAAGATTGTTACGAGCGAGTCCACGACAGCGTCAGTCAGAACAAATAATCTCGGTAACACGCGGATAATTGACGTATTTGCCTCTGGTTCTCTCTCTTTTCCATTTCAAGCTCTGTCAGCGCGACGAGAAGTAAATGTAGGACGCATTCATAGGTGGAGGAAAGTTTGGTTGGATTAACCGAATGTGTGGTGGAGGATCATAATGAACAAATCAGAAAATTCCGATTCGAGTCACCAGAATTCTGTTCAATAAGATTTCTGATCAACCAGAACTTCTTACCATTTCTGAGTTGACAAGATTTCTAGCTAACCAGAACTCGTGGCCGTTCAAGTCAACCACACGGAAGAGAAAAGGTGCACATCACCAGAAATATTCAGTTGTGAGCGGCACAATTGCATCAGCCTAGTTATCTTTGTGGTAGCGCGTCTAGTTGACACGACTCACAAATAAACCTACCCAAAAGGTACACTCCGATCTCTTTCTGATTTTGTTAATCGATTTCTTTCTAATGCATTTTTGTTGTACCTGTTGATGATAGGAGTAGGAACATTAAAAAGCTATAAACTGCCCGTGAAACTCAAAATGAAAAAATATAATCTAAATATTTCTTATACTTCTACATTTGTGTCAAATTAGAAAGAAATTGGAGTGTACCTTTTGAGTAGGTTTACTTGTCAGTATACTTTGGTATACTTCAACTAGTATTATACATCAATGTAGCTGCGCGTGATTTGATTGTGGCGATCAGAAATCTGTTGAATCTGTTTGGCACAGCCGGATTGATGCGTGGGCCAACCATATCGTGTCCTTCTGTGCAGAAGTCTTGTTGACTCAAACGGAATTCTGGCAGTTTCAACCAGATTTCCGATTCATTCATATTTCACCAGACACCTGGTTAATTCAACCGGACTTTCTTTTTCATCCGCATGCATAACTTACTGGAGCAAAGTTCCGGGGTTTCGGGTAAACGACTTTGCGCTTTTCCTTTCGCTCCGAGGCGCGTTCTCAATCAAAATCGCGAGCCGGGAAATCGAATAACAGGGAGCGTACGCAATTTCCCGTTGCACCCGTTATGCAAAAAAACACAAAGAGAGGCCTCCGGTGCGCTCCCGGCGGGCGTGTTACGAATTCATGCCTACAGTAGATGAGCGCAGAAGCATCGTCCTCCGGTCCCCCCGCGTGTGTGTGCTTTCGGCTCGTGTGTGCGCTCAGCTATACACAGTTCTGTCCACACAGGTGTGCGCCCGGAGTGCACCGAGCGATGCACCGCGCGCGGTTGCACTCGCGTTCAGGTTCTCGCCGGATTCAGCATCCACGACAACTATCGGGGGGTTTCCGCAGACGTTACGTCGGAAAAATCTTGGTGGGAGTGTGCCGAGAGGATGACGCGTGCACTTCCGGTAAGCCCGGGGAGCGGTCGAGTTTCGCGCGAGGCAAAACGTCTGCTACGACGACGACGCGACGGTTTGACGCGTGTTATCCGCTATCCCGGGCATTGAGAATCACGACGGGGATTCCGAATGATGTTTCAATTAGCCTTTAAACCACGCAAAGCAGATCACCGACGCGCCGTAAATAGTAACAGAGCGAATTACCGGTGCTTTAAATGGCACAAGAGCAAATTACTGCCGCTTCAACGTATTATGCCGGCTTACAATGAACTTCGCAAAAGAGAAGGAGAGAGCTTGTAATGAGAAAAAAAAAGAGAGAGAGAAAGAGAGAAAAGGAAGAAACTCCACAACGAAAATTTCAGCGCGCACTCACTGAGGCGGCTGAGGTGAAATTTATGGCAAAGGTAAACGTTACGATTACCCGTTCCGCGGGCTGCGATTGTCGTGGGATCAAAAGCGCCATTGCGCTTCTTTCTCTGACGCTCGAAAGCCACAGTTCTCTCGTCGGGGAAGGCGGAAAGAGATAGAAAGATAGAGAGAGAAAGAGTGCGAGGCAAAGCGAGAGCTCTCCTTTGCCTCCGCACATTTCAGATTCGAAAATTAAATAACGTTACCTCGGGCCAATCCTTTGTTTCGTATCGTACGCGCTTTAACTAATGAAATAACGCGACGCGACGTGGTCGTTCCTGCGCGAGAATTCGGCGGGACGGGAATTAAAAGTCGCGAAATTGCGGCCGCCTGCGACTTGTTTCGCTTAATCGAGATTTAATGGCAATTGTGAGCCCGAGCGCACAGACGCGGAGAAAAGCGCGCGAGCGCAACGGAGACACCCTCTCTGAAACATTCACTCCGCCAAAACGCCAAGGCGGCGTGACGCGTGCGCCTTCTGTAGGATCTATTGAGCTCTCCACTTAGTGGTTAATAATTTTTTTTTAAATACTGAAATGTCAGGATGTTAGAGGATGATAACCCGAGTTGAAATTTTGGCGACTCATTAATCTTAATCTGTATTCCTGCCTTGTTGAAATCGAGATAAAACCTAAGATCAAACAAAAGTGGCGACTCCGTTACGCTTGTTCCGTTATGCTTTATGTTGCCGTTACATTTATCCGTTATGTTAGCTTCGAGCATCTCCGAGATCGCTTCTTTATTTCCTCTGGAAGGTCATCCCTCGCCCCTTGCTCGCTCTCCTTTGTCTCATCGCGATCTAAATCACGTTCAATCAATTTAAGTTGTCTCATGTTCACCTCAGGTGTTTACCTCAGGTGTGCCGACCTCTTATCTGTCGTTAGTTTTCTTCGTGCATGCTAGACCGCGATTACATTATATTTCTTACACTTGTTCGTGTATTGTTTATCTTGGCCGGCGTCACGACGGGCGGAATTGGAGCATGTTTGTTACACGACTCGCATGACACATTCATTCACGGCCGTCTGCCCGTTCGTTTGCCATGGACATTAAATTAACGTTCGCAAATGGCAATTAAACGTCAATTTCGTCGTTTTTATTCGTGGCGTCGATTGTCAACGTCAACGAGCTGCATTCGAAATTGCGATAAACAACTAATTTGCCGCATTTCGGGCCGACTTTCGGCAGTATTTTTGGAAAAATGGACTCGCCAGCGCGTGAAACGAATCCCACGTGAATCCCGCCGGCCGACAGAGGATCCGCCGCGATTAATTCCGGGGAGAACGAGGAGACGAGGAGCGGGTGGACGCACATTTTTTGAATATCTTATTGCACACAACGTCATAAGGTCACACCGAATGTGCACAGCAAATTTGGCCGAACCTTCCTTTTAATTCGCACGAGAGCGCGAAATTAATCCGCGCGCGCGCGCGCAAAGAGACCACGACGGAATTCTGGGTCGGGAAATAAAAGAGCGCGCTGTTAGCGAAATCGCATAGTCATCGCGCGTATAAATGTATGCATGTGTATGCGCGCGCACGGGCTTTGCTGTATTACTGTAAAGAGTTCCATTATCACGGTGGAGCAAATTCGAAAATGAAATAGCGTAGCCGCCGGCTGGAACTTTGGTCAACGCCGCTCTGTCGGGACAATTCCGGCTTGCCCGCGTGGAGAAAAACGCATTAACGTGACAGAGTTACGTTCCTCCGCAACGTTTCGCCCGACAAATTAACGAATCATCGGTGTTTCGGACGTGCGCGCGTGCATTCGAAGGATGCAATTCGTTTTGCCGTCGAAACGAGCTTCTCCGGTCACATCATCTTTCCGTGGCTCTCTCGCGGCCGGCGACTAGACATGTGCGATTTATGAAACTGTGTATCGCGATACGATCTTCTTAAGAATCGCAATAAACGCGATATATCGTATCACAATTGCGTATCGCAAGTGCGACTTGAATCGCGTGCGATTTTTAATCATAAAGGGACTCGGAGCAACCACAATGAAAACCGCAATGTTTAAATAGAGGTATTGAAAATAAATAAATCAATTCTCTCTTCTCTCTCTTCTCTCTCTTTGCATCAAAATATTCTTTGAAATGTCCATCATAAGAAAAATGAACTTGATTATATATTAAAAGAATATTCCAATATTTACCTTTAAATTATACCTTTCCAGGCACTATAAAATAGAGAGCATAGTGCTTTTTATCGTTATCCAGGTTTTATGATCACGTTATCACTAATAATGTCACGATTACACGAACGGATAACCGCAATTACAAACGTAAACAAAACACGGGCTGTCCATAGCTGCTTGACATTGTTGCAGTTTCTTCGAGTAATCAACAGTCACGACCCTTGACTGTCTAGACACGAATGCGTTAGCTCGAAAATTTGTGGTAACTCTCGACACATGACTAGGCATATATGCAATCCTCTGTACATCCGACGTGTCCTCCACGCCGTTATCTCGCGCGCTTCTCTCTCGTCGTTTCTATTTCGCGTTTTTTTTTTTTTTCGTCCTTCGTTACGACGCAATTTTCGACGCTTGTGAACTTGGAGCGCGGAAGAAAAGAATCGGACACCGCGCGCGCGCCGCCGCCGGGAAGTTGGCGGCCGCGAAGAAGGGTGGCTTCGAGGTCATTTTTGCTTCTCTAACTAGCGCTTCATACGGTGACTTCGCGGCGACGGTGAAATCAAGCCCCGTTTCAAGCAAATGCTTCATTAACCCTTTCGTTAACCCGCCAATGACGAGGCTCGATTTCTGCACGTTAACCGCACGTTGCGGACCGTTGTGGTCGCACCCAAAGACTCTTTGCAGCCAGCCCGTCGGTTCTTGTCATCCGGGTATGAGCTTTAGACTTTTTCCGAGTAATTAAGGCTAATCGAAACATCAAATTTGTTTATGAAACCACACGGCTTTATAATCATTGCATGAGTGAAACATCGCAAATTTCAGACCTGCGAATTCGAATTTTCAGTCAAACGTGAATTTTCTTTTTTTTTTTAAAGAAAAGTGACAAAGGTGAGTGTTTGACTAAACGAAAATGATTGGTGCTGATCACAAAAATTACAATGGATACACATGAATGTTTAAACCTTAGAAGTTACGATTATACCAATATAAGTCGCAGCTGATGCCATTTATTCGCGATCATTTATCTGGAGTTTATAAGCTGGTAAGACTAACTGAAGAAAGCTACTGAAGACTTGGAGTCATATCTAGTAGTGTTGCCAACGTTTTTAAACTAAATGTGCTGCTTGGAGTACGCTCATATCAATCTCATCTTATCAATCTTGAGTTAAGACACAAGATTGTTTCGTGTTCATAATTATGTACATTCAGGTTTAAGCAAGAGAGTTCGTAATGAGACGTAAGTCTTACCCAAATTTTTTATATTAGCAAAGTAATGATCTCATCGATGCAATAGATCTATCCTAGATAGTATTCTTCGTCCCGCGATTTACTCGCTGGAAAAACCATATAGCTGAAAGAACATATAGCGACCGTGTGAAATCAGAACAGAATCATCGCTCAAAATTGTGTAGTTTTTCACGAGAAAAAGTATGAATTTTACCTTCTCAATTTTTTATCGGTATCATCTTGAAGTACAAGCTTAATGCTTTTATGTTAATTTTATCACGGCCATAAGATTTATCAAATTCTCTACATATAGAGAATTTTATAGCAAAAGTTAGCATAGAATTTTATAATGTTAATAATTTTATAACGAAATGTACAGATTGACACTTTGCAGCAATTTATTATTCTTTCTCACTTTATATGTGCCATTTATATTTTAAAAACTGAAGTATGTTATTAACAAATTTGTTATGTTCCTGTAACGAAATTTACTGTGTTCTTTGGCAAACTTTCTTGTTTAGGGGAGGGAAGGGAGCAACTTAGTTATTACACAGTTAATTTTATTTTCCTGAATGGCAACTATGTTTTCGACTATCAAACGTTGTTGGAAAGTAAACGTTAAAAAGCATTAAAAGTTTGGTGGTTAAATCATCAAACGAATAATAACAACTAGAATTACAATGTCTTGAAAGTGGTTCTCCAAGTTAGGAAAAAGTCCAAGTTCATATGCATTTTTTATTTTTTGTGATATCCGTTTTGACTAGCCAACGTTCCCGTTGAGAATAGATCATCAAATGGTACCAAACGAATTATTATTGTTAAATAATAGCCAACTTCACGCGGCTCTCTGAGGTGCATGAACCCCAACCTACTAATAGCAATCTACTGCACCGTAGATAAGAGCTCTCACGTGTAGACTAATATTACATTCACGATGTGAGTTCATCAGCCGACCAGCACGGTCTTTCGCGTGGGATCTCGCGTGCGAACCGCCGCGGCGCGGCAAGGCCCTTAAAATTTACGTCCAACAACGTCGTCTCACGCTTTTTTTATCGCTTCTCTGTTTCAGGCTCCTTCCAGGCACTAATACAGTATTCGGACATGCTGTCGGCGCAGACCGCTAAATACGTAAGTATCCACTCGGCTTCTCTTCCATCCGCGCCGCCTACATACGCCTCGTTTTATTTCCTCCCTCCGCCATCAGCGCGTCCATTGTTCTCCTCTCTCACCCTCCTTCGCCGCTCCTTCTCGCCGTTTCTTCCACCCCCGCCTCGTTCCCTCGTTTTCTTTTTTTCAATTTCTCTCTTCCGTGCGGACGTTTTGCTGCTTGTTCCCGCGGGACAGATCGAAATTTGCCGCGGATTATCTCGCGGCGGGAGAATATTTTTCGCCAATTCCTCTCTCCCTCCCCCTTGCCCTCGCCACCCCCCGCGATCCCGAAGAAAGGCGCGGCGCGACGGTTAATTACCGGAAGTGAGCTCGATGAATGCAATCGGAAGATTGATGACGCGAAAGAAAGAAATCGGACGCGCGCGCTACGGAATAGAGAGAAAGAGAGAGGAAAGAACGGAGAGAACGGAATCGCGCGCGGTTCCTCCCGATGTGCACGGCTATTTTGCTTGATTTATGGAAATATCGGCTGCTTTACAAGCCAAATTAATCCTCGAAGCGCGCACCGCAGATCGGACGCACCGCAGACACGCGGCCGATCATTCCCGCTCTCTATTCTGCTAGCATATCTCGCCAAAATATAGTATTTCGCTGATATCGTGGCCTTCACTCGTCATCGATTACACGACCCTTCTCCCTCTTCGATTCCTGCGATTCTTTCGATCGTGATGGTAAAATAACCACGTTTACGTTTCTTTTTTTGCTTCAAGGAGGTTAAGAAAGCCGTAGCATTAAACTTGCCGCTACACGAGACTCGTGTCTCTGCACATCGCGAATTTTGTCTCTCACCTGTAATCCTGCCGTAATCGTTTCGTCCGTAATCGTGAATTAGAGCGCCACGTCCCTGCGAGACAACCACTTCCGTTCTCATTTCATTCTCTTTTATCTTTTTTTCCTTTTTTTTTTTTGTTACGGATGTCGCGAGGATTGTAGCGTTTAAAGCCTTGGCGCTGCTTAAGAAGTGAAAGATGCGCGCGCGTGTGTGCAGTTTCCGCTCTGTGCTATTACGGATGATGTAACTAATTTGCGCCCGCTAAAGTGCTCCATGCCAACGTTGAATCCAGTCTCACTGTCGGAGGTCGAAAGGGCGCTCCATAGAAAATGAGGAGAATATTCGAGAGACTTTTCCATTGGAAATAAAGCGAGGTGGCTTGCCGGCGAATCTCCTTGGTTAATTCCGCGACGCGAACACATTTCGCCGAGCCGATTGACGCGACCGTGCAGAAATCACGCGCGATTGGTCTCGCGTCTTTGAAGCGGCAAGTGTCTGGAATAATTCAACCGCGCGCGCGGAGTCCGTCTAAATTAACCCTTTCACAAAGCCCCGGCTGTAAATACTGTATATTAATTATGGCTTCATTTCTGTTTCTCTCGGCTGGGACCTGTTGTACATACTCGTGATTTACACTCAGCTTTCCCCCAGCGAACTCTGCCATCTTATGCGTGTGTTTGCGGTAACGAATAACTTTCCCGTGAGAATTTAGTGTGACACAACCACTTCGCCATTCCCGAATGCAAGAATGTGTCCTCTACTAATTCCCCGCTCAAAAGAAAAAAAGAAAAGATATATATCACACACACAGGGTGTCCGGTAAATCACATCGGAGCCACGGTGTGCAGATAGATCAATCGCCGAATAATCGCGAATGATAATGACTAATATCCTTTAATTAATAATTAAAAACTTACGTGGTTATTTGCGAAATGATGGCGAACTTTTCTGTTCAATTTGACCTCATCTACAAACATACGAAGTCGTCACACTAAGAGAAATTATCCGATAAAAACTTAACAAACGGATATTCCCGATTAAACTCCAATTTAATCGGATACTTCCGATCGTGGCATTTCACCAGATAAGCCAATCCAAAAATTATGAACTAGTATTTCTCATTAGATATTTCTTGATCAAATACAACATAAGTAGTGTATCACTACTCATCTGCCGTAGCGCACATGATTATTCGCCAATCTTCTTTGATTAATAATTCAAAGTTCTACGTGTTTCTTAGAGGAATTTTTTCTCCACTTTGACCTAATCTATCTGTACAACGCAGGCCTGAAAGGGTTAACAGACGCGACCAGACACGAGACTCGTTGCATTTTCGCGCGCTCGAGATTAATCGCACGCACGGTGATTTTACGTCTGCAACAGCGGCAATCGCGAGCAGGAAATGACCGGGAGCCGTACCGTGCGTTCGAATCCCCCTCGCCTTCTTCCGCTTTTCCCTCCCCCCCCCCCCTCACC